TCAAATGTCAGGTGGGCGAGGTCGGCTACTGCCCGCCTGACAAGCTCCAAGCCGCCTGGCCCTTCTAGTAAAAAGGGCGGCAATCTCATCCGAATGTTCTCACTAGGCAAATGGAAACTCCCGACCATGGCTACTCTAAGGTTCGTCGTCACGTCATCAACTTCCGGGTCCGCTAATTCGAACCCTGCCTGCCACACTAGCTGCCATGCCCTCTCGAACATACTTAACGGATCTTCCCCTGATGCCAACAAGACTCCGAACGCCCGCCACCCATCCTCGGACATATACAACCATTCTTCCGCACGCACATGTCCCCGTGGATCCAGGTTCCACTCGCCATTCTTCCGCACGCACATGTCTTCCGCACGCACATGTTCCCGTGGATCCGAACGCCCGCCACCCATTCAACCCTTATCACCAGGTAAACCGTGTTTTCCATGAGCTCCACCCCGACCCAGTCCACCACCGGGTGCCAGCCCTCGCTCGTGGCGGGCAGACTGATTTCTCTCCCACCAGTCACATCCCTTGGCGGCTCAATGCCCAGCGGGCTGTCTTCAAGGAACGTCCTTCATCGTGTCATTGCGCGCCTGTCTTCGGTCTTTTACTTTCGCAATCCGTAATGATCCCTAAATGGCCAGACATCCCATCCCTTGCCTCAGTACTTTTATGTCTGGCTGGCCCGCATAGTACACATACCCTCTCACCTATGCTTCCCCCCTAATTTTCTTTTTCCTTCTTCTTTTCTCCCCTTATCCCCCTAGCTTACCCTATTAGTTCGGGGTTTTCCTATTCTTAATCGAACCACAGTACTTCGAACAATTTAAACATGTCCTCCACATAGCAAGGTGTCGCTGCTACCTCCCGGCAGATTATGACACCCCTAATTTTCGGGGCTACCCTTAACCGATCGTCCCTTTCTATGTCCAAAATGATGAGGACCTCCCAAGCTCTGTCGCCGTGGAAGGGCCCAAATTTCGGCGATGTTTTATAAAATTCTTCCGTCAGCCATGCACAATTTACGTGTATCCGCTCCATGGTGCTTGCCACTTTCGCGACATGGTCAAAACCCCCATACCAATCAACCACGAACTCGGGCACCCAGGTCTTGACTTGTAGGCAGGGGGGTCTAAATTCCTTCCATCCCCCCATCACGACCCTACTACGGACCACATCCCATCCTTTGTTAGCAAACTTCTCACCTGCCTGTCGAGCCCTTGCCTCAGCGTCCCCTAGGAGCCACATCGGGTTTTGCCCTGCTGCGAGCGTCGTGCAAAACAAGTGCCACCCCTGCTCGGAGAGGATGATCGTCCCGTCCGATTCCACTATTCCTTCTGCGATCTCCTCCCATCCTTCCTCTTCCCTTAACGGGTTCCAGACACGTTCTATCCATAGATATGACAGTTCTGGTACAATTTCAAGTCCTACCCAGTCACACGTGGCCCCTCTTCACTCTCTATCCGTTGGTATGGACATTTTTATTCCTCCTTTGACTCGTCTTAGCTCCCATCCTTTGAACGTGCAGTCCCTTAGTTGGAGCTCCCGGGCCATTGTTCCCTACCTGCACATAACCGACCACCCATTTCCCCGGGTAAGCCCCCCTTAAAAAATCCCAATCCTCTATCTCGTCATCATTCCCGCCATCGCTGAAACCATCCTCCTCGTCAAACAACAAGTTTTTCAGTCCTTCTAGGAAGGTCTCCCCCACCGCCACATTTCGATAGACTATCCGCCAATGCACTGGGCTAGGGACAAAGGCATCGTCCGTGATGAGGAGGTTCAATATCTCGGTCAATTCCTCCGCCCAGTTACCTTCGAACGGCCCCATTTCTACCGACAATCTAAAAAAGTCCTGTCGGGCGCACTCGTACAGCCTCAAGGGTGCCATCGACCGGCATATTTGTTCTTATCTCTCCCTGGTCTCGAAGACCGCATCCACCAGAAATGGAGGTAGCACGCACCTCATTGTCCTAAGAGGTCGTCTCATGTTTCCCTTATCCCCGAGCTCCACTCGCACCTCTACCTTATCCATTTCCATTTCCGCCCGTTGACATGCCGCCCATACCACTTCTCGTTCCGCTTGTCTAAACAACCGGTTCGGAAACGTTCCCAATACTAATCCTATTACCATTGCATTTTCCATTTCCTGGGATAGGTAGACCCACCCGCGGGCTTCCACCGTCCCCCGGAACTCCAAGTCCATCAAGCTCGGCGACAGTCTCGTCAGGCTGACCTTAGTCCAGATAGAGGATCCCCTGGAACGTCAGACAACAGAGGATGAGAAGAAGTTGGAGTGGAAGTTGCGGATGATGAGGGAGAAGAAGAGGAGGGAGGAAGCCAACCGAGTGGCGAAAGAAGTGGAGAAAGTCCGGGCATGCAGACTGGAGATGCAGGCACAAACAGAGGTCCCCGCGAAATTAGATAAGATTATAGGGTACCTAGAGATCCTGAGTGAGGCCCGACTTGAGGAGCATCAGGCCAACAAGGGTCACGACGTGACCCTGCATGCCATGCGATCCGGTTTTTGAGAGTTTGCGCATGACGTGGTTATCCACGTCGGGACCGAAGTCAAAAAGTTAAAGGAAGGCGCAGAGAAGTTCTGTGTCGGCGCCATTGAAGGCGCTAAAGTAGTGGCCACACCAGAGGCCGCAACACGTCCCCGCAAAGAGCCGGTAAAGCTCAAATTTCCAGATTCTTATAGCGGGAAGAAGGACGAAAGTTTTGACAACTGGGAAGCCAGTGTCAATAGTTATGTGTATTGGCAGCACATCGCCCCCGAGGAACAAGTCCTCGTTGCCTTTCATACACTGAAGGACGAAGCGGCCAGCTTCGCCAAGTCCCTCGCGCGCGCCGCTGATTGTGAGCACAATATGCTTGTGTATTGTAGGCTGACCCCTCTCTCCACTTTTCTCAAACTCCTGCGTGAGAGGTTCGATGACGTCACGAGAGACGTCAGGGCCTCTAACAAGCTCCAAACCATCCACTCGCGACAGTGGAGGAGTGCGCGAGCACTCAAAGCTGTCATGGACGACTTGGTAACCGTCCCGGACCATGGGGTCACTAAGACCCAGTTGGTCCAGCTGTTCTATCGTGCCATGCCAAAGCCCTTGAGAGGGCATTTCTTTGACAAGACCGAACAGCCCAACATCACATACGATGCCAGTTTCCACTTTCTGTTACAAGGACTTAGATAAGGGAAAAAAGTGGAAAGGCCATACCATCTCTGACCAGGTTATGGCCAAGGATCATTTGATCCTTACCTTAGATGAAGGTGGTACTGATGAGGTCCCCTACAATCAAATTGAGTGGGGACTCGAGGAGGAGGACAGTAGCATAGGTCAGGGGAGGTCTTATGCAGCTGTCGCGGCTGGAGGGAGGCAACAAAGTAGAGGAGGAGGCCAGGGCCAAAAGGGCCAGGCCACAGGAGGCCGAGGATCGGGCGCACAGGGGGTTGGTGGTCAGGGGAACCGTCAAGCGGGAGGTAGGGGTCAAGGTCCCCCGCCGAATCGTCAAGGTCCCAGTCGGTCCCCACAACGACGAGGTGGTAGTGGTAGGTCACCTCAAAGGTCAGGAGGTTGGCACCCAGGCTGGCCACAAGGCTGGCCTTGGGAAGATCTGGGTCTGGACCAGAAAGTGTGGCAACAACGCATGGAGCAGGGGCAGTGCATTTACTGTGGTGACCCTGCCCATATCATAAAATATTGTCCTAAGTATAGACAGACCCAATGGGCTGCCCAGGAGTCAAAAGGCAGTCGACGGTAGGGGTTGCAACTGCCCCTACTATTAGGCCATGTGGGGAAGCGAGAGCGCGCGTACAGGAATCTCCCACACCACATGAGCCTTCGACAGAGGTTGCAGGCCCGTGCCTAGTCAGTTGTCCAGAGACTGCTTGTGTCATCGTCTCTCTAGGCACGTCCCTCACAGGCGTGGCAGAGGAATTGAAGGAGAGGATGCCTGCCTGGGCCAAGATGAAGAAAGATAGTAAAGGGCAGCTAGTGTTAGTTAATGTAGAAGTTTTCAGGAGTAGAATTGGGGCCCTTATAGATTCAGGGGCCACGCGTAGTTATATTAGCCGTAGAGCGTTGAAGAAACTGAGGCTAGGATTGAAAGTCAAAAAGTTAGAAGACCCCATAGTTAGTGTCCTCGCAGACAACCACACGATGCGTGTTGAGGACTACGTAGAGGGAGTCCAAGTGTATTATTGCCTAGAGAAAGATGGGAAGGTGGAGAAAGTTTTTCATTCCCTGAATCTCCGCGTTCAGGATGACCTTCCTTTTGATATAATCCTAAATATGGACTGGGGAGAGGCAGCAGGGGCCACACTCCACTTGAGAGAGCATGAGTGTAGGCTCCCTAGTCCGTCAGGCGAGGTTAAGACAACCCGATTGTTTCATGTGTCAGGAGTAGATAACTCGTTGAAACATTGTTGTTTAAGTGCTCCCTCATTTGCGTGACTAGTAAGAAAGGAGCAGTTAGAATACCACATCTTTGCAGTGTATGTCAGACCTGTCACTGAGCCTAAGGAAGAGGATAGTTCCATGGATCCAGCCATTGCCAAGCTGCTGGAAGAGTTTAAAGATCTAACAGAGCCGCCAACACAGGATAGAGATAGAGCCTGCCAGTAGAACTCCTAAGGGAGCAGTCTACATGATGTCCTCTAGAGAGTTAGAGGAGCTGCGCAAACAGTTGGACGAGCTCTTGGAGAAAGGTTGGATTAGGTCCAGTTCGTCTCCTTTTGGAGCTCCAGTTTTGTTTGTCCCCAAGAAGGAAGGAGAGTTGCGTACGTGTATAAACTATAGGGTTCTGAATGAGATCACAATTAAGAATGATGAACTACTGCCTAGGATAGACGACCTTTTAGATCGAGTGCAGGGGTGCAGATATTTTTTGAAGATCGATTTAAAGTCCGGGTATCATCAGATAGAGGTCCATCTTGATGACCAGTACAAGACTGCTTTCCGGACTAGATATGGCCATTATGAGTTTATAGTGATGCCCTTTGGACTAACCAACGCGCCAGCTATATTTCAGTGATGTATGAATGATCTGTTTAGGCCTTGGTTAGATAGGTTTGTCGTAGTATACTTAAACGACATCCTCGTGTTCAGTAGGACCCTCCAAGAGCACCAGGGTCATTTAAGGCAGTTCTTGGAGAAGCTCGGAGAGGCTAACTTCAAGATCAACGTGAAGAAGTGTGAGTGGGCCAAGACACAGGTCTTGTACTTGGGCCACATATTAGACGGAGATGGCATTAAGCCAGAGGACAGCAAGATAGCGGCGATTAGAGACTGGCCGACGCCCCGCACGTTGACAGAGTTGCGGTCGTTCTTAGGCCTAGCTAACTACTATAGGAAGTTCGTGAGGAACTTCTCGACTATCGCCGCACCCCTCCGCAGGTTGCTCAAGAAAGAGGCAATTTGGCAGTGGGATAAGGACTGTACGTCTGCGCTAAAGAAGTTGAAGTGCGCGTTGATAGAATACCCTGTCCTCAAAGTAGCAGATCCGTCTTTGCCATTTGTCGTCACCATGGACGTGAGTCAGTATGGGATAGGCGTCGTGTTACAGCAGGATGACGACAATGGCTACAGACCCGTAGAGTTCATGTCAGCGAGGATGCCCTCAAAGAAGGTTGCTACCTCGACGTATGAAAGGAAACTCTACGCTCTCAGGTAGGCCTTAGAGCATTGGAAGCATTACCTGCTTGGGAAGCACTTCAAGGTGTATTCAGACCACGAGACCCTTAGATGGCTAAAGACACAGGCCAAAATGACACCTAAGTTGACTAGGTGGGCCGGTGAGATAGACTTATATGACTTCGAGCTCAAGCCTGTGAAAGACAAGTATAATGTAGTCGTGGATGCTCTAAGTAGGAGATCAGACTACTTTGGAGCCATAGTTCATTTTCTGGATATAGGGAGTGACCTGCAGGAGAAAGTTAGACAGGCGTATGCGCATCACCCTATCTATAGTGACCTCCTCAAGAGAGTTAAGGAGGCCCCAGAGACTGAGCCAGATTACCGCACTACAGAGAGGTTGTTATTTGAGAAGATCAATGTAGTAGACCATCTCTGCGTTCCCAACAATGAGGAGATCCGCAGTTTGATCTTAGGGGAATGCCACGACACAGAGGGACATTTCGGGTGGCAAAAGACTCTAGCCAATGTAATGCATGCGTATACATGGCCCGGAATGAAGAACGACTGCACAGAGTATGTCCGCAGTTTGTAAAGTTTGCGAGAGAAACAAGAGCACTACGCGTGCTCCTCTAGGTCTTCTCAGACCCTTGCCTATTCCTGATCAGCCAGGAGATTCAGTGTCCATTGACTTTATGGACACCGGTGTCAAGAGTAGGCACGGCAAGAGCCAAGTCATGGTTATAGTCGATAGATTTAGCAAGTATGCTGTTTTTGTTCCTTTGCCTGCAGAGGCACATACAGAGTTAGTCATTCAGAAGTTTTTCGATTTTTGGGTTAGTGAGCATGGCGTCCCATTGTCTATAGTCAGCGATAGAGATAGTCGCTTCACTAGCCAGAACTGGCAGGAGCTGATGAGAGTTTATGGATAAGGTGTTGATGTCGTTTGGCCATCATCCAGAGACTAACGGGCAGACTGGGTAGATGAACAAGATCCTGCAACAAGTTTTGCGCATGTACATTAGACCTGATCAGATCAACTGGGATGAGATGTTACCCAAGGTAGCCAGTGCGTACAATAACATCATGCATTTGTCCACCTGTCGCACTCCCAACGAGTTGCACAAGTCCTTTACACCACGTAGACCGTTTGAGGGACTTAACCGGGATCAGATTCACAGGCTACCGCCCAATACCAGGGAGTTCGCAATACAGCACGAGAAAGAGATAGCCACTGTTGTTGAGATCCTCTGGAAGGCCCAACACTGGATGATAGAACAAGCTAATAAGCACCGTCGCCCGTCGCAGTTTCAGGTAGGCTACCTAGTCTGGGTCAAGTCCGAAGAATTCGCTCCTGAGGAGAACATCTCGCAGAAGTTACTGCCCACGTATAGAGGATCGTGGCCGGTTCTAGAAGTCAAGGGCAGAGAGGATGGGTCATCCTACACAGTAGAGATACCAGCACACCTCCATACCTACCCCGTGTTTCACGCATCAAAGTTGCTGCAGTGTGTCACGAGTCAACAGTTTCCATCTAGGAGATCCATGATCCCCCCAGACATGGACGGGAGATACGACATTGATGGCATTGTAGGTGAAGATGTGTTCAGAACAGGAGGTAGAGGTCGTCCGCAGAAGCAGTATAAGGTCCGGTTTGTGTATCAGGAACCAGAGGACAACCGCTGGTTCACTAGAGCAGAACTTCTAGAGACAACTCCCGACATAGTTAGAGCCTACGAGAGAGATCAGAAAGGTAAAGGTTCTGCCTTGGACTAAGTTATTCTCGGAGGACCTCGAAGTTAGGCCCGCGGGAGTGAAACGGTATTCACCAGTTCGCAGTAGCTGATGCAGATCCCAGGGCTCGATCCCTAGTCACCACCTTACCTGTGTATAGTATCTGTGTCGACCCCTAGAGTCGAACCCGTGACTTGTGTAGTTGTAACAGTTGCTAGACTGTCGTAGGGTCCATAGGTAGCAAAGGTTCGATCTGTAGACCTGTCGAGTAGGAGTCTCAGTCAGGTCTAGAAGTCGTAGCTGTAGTTTTCCCGAAGAGTCAAGGTCGTAGCTGCTACAGTCCAGAAGGGTCAAGGTCGTAGCCGCACCAGTATCGAAAGGCCAAGTCTACGGCCTTCCGGAAGATCCGAGTAGTGGCCTTTCGAAGTTGCCCATGTTTAGGCTAAGGCAAGTGGGCAAGTGGTGGAGTCTACCCGTGTTGAGTCAACAGTCCCAGTCCCAGTCAGTCCTGGTCCAGTCAAGCAAGTACCGCATGGGACTGTGTGCACTACGAGCATGGGAAAGGGTCAGACCAACGAGCTGCAAAAGTATAAATCAAGAGGCAGCGCCCAATCATTCATTCATTCCTTTGTGAACCATGCGGAAGCGCTGTCATAGTGACTTGTGCGAGGTGGTCTACGCCCGACGAAGTGGGCGAGAGAGAAGGAGCTTAGCCATAGCGATAGGATAGTAGCGGCCATAGTCGCCGTAGCTGTAGATAGTATGCAGTGTGAGTGTGTGTGTGTGTGTACAAAGTATCGCGTGTGGGATATCCAGAGTGATCCTGTGTGTGCGAACAGAGAGTTGTGTGGGCGCTGTGTCGCCATAGCCAATGCAGTGAACTTATATCTAAGCTGTGTTCTCGGGTACCACATCTCTGAGTTTTGAGTGGGCGCTTGTCGCCAGTTTGCTGAAAATCTGTTTGCATACATGTAAAGTGTAAATGAAAGTGAGTCTGATTGCACTTCTTCACCCATCCACCATGGTCATCCACCTCACACAATCTCCCACCTCCATCTCCTTCACCCATCCACCATAGCCAACCACCACGCACCATCTTCCTCCCCCTCCTTCTCCCATCCACCATAGCCAACCACCTCACTCCACCTCCCTCCTCCATTTCCTTCACCCACCCACCATAGCCAATCACCGCACACCATCCTCCTCCTCCATCTTTTTCACCCATCCCCCGTAGCCAACCACCTCGCACCATCTCCTCCTCCGTCTTCCTCAACCGTCCTCCACATCCGACCGCCGCACTCCCCCTTCCCGCGTCACCTCGTCCACCAACCCAAGGCCATGACCTACGGGGCACAAAGAAGCAAGGTGTAGAAAGGAGACCTTGGGTAGGACGGTAGGACAAAGAGGTGGCAAATTGACTAGGAGTAGGAGCTCTCTCTCTCTCTCTCTCTCTCTCTCTCTCTCTCTCTCTCTCTCTCTCTCTCTCTCTCTCTCTCT